CAGGAGCCAAGGAAGGCCTGGGACTTCTGACAAGGAAGAAATCGACAGCCGAGACCCTGATTTGAACTTTTAACCTCCAGAACTATGAGAAAAAAAAATGTCTTCTCTTTAAAGCCAATTTCTTCTGTTACAGCAACACTAGGAAACTAAGATCCACCTCAAAACCAAACCAAACCCACTGCTGTCGATTCCGACTCCTAGCGACCCTGTAGGACAGAGTAGAACTGCCCCATAGGGTTTCCAAGGCTGTAATCTTCACAGTGGAAGCAGACTCCTGAGGAGGTTCAAACCACTGACCTCTTGGTTCGCAGCTGAACGCTTTAATCACTGCACCACCAGGGCTCCCAAGACACACCTATTATGGGCTAAATACTGTGACAGGCACTGAGGATACAACACGCTATAAAACGTAGACTCTACTCTCAAAGAGGTTGCATAAAAATAATTTTAATCCCAGTTTCATTTTAGGAGCAAATAATTACTAAGAGGTGCACAGATTTACTTTATAACTTTATACTTAAATGCCCACTTAACACCAGAGCTTTGCTTAATTTCAGCATGTTTTAAAAAGTTTTCATCTTTTTAATCCATTGATTAAAATGAATTGCTATCATAAGTAGGTAGTGTCCACAATTAGGTATAATCAGAATCTATATAGCCAAGTGACATATTTTCCATAGATATGAAACATGTCCAAAATTTTCTGTTTGGTTAAAAGTTTCATTATCCTAACTGAAACTAACGTTAGTCCCATAGTTGGTGTGTTAATTCAGCAAATATTCACTGAGCACTACTCTGTGCCAGGCACAATAGGAATATAGCAGTGAACGAGGCACCCTTCCATCCCAGCCCCCAGGGAGCCCGTAACTGGTGCCTCCAAGGTGAGCCCACAGACAGAGGAGCGGGGGTGGGAGGGAGGGCACTTCACTATCCCAGCAACCAAAGTCCTGCAACGTCCAAGAGAGACAATAGAAGGAAATGGCTATTGGAATTCTTATTAGAAAAAGAACGGATGACAGGGCTGCTTGCTCATAAAAAAAGGATTTTCATAAAGAACTCATGGTAAGAGATGAAAGAGGTAAGATTTAAATAGAGGAAATGACTGAGCAGCTTAGAGAGGAGGGAGATTAGAGGAACAAAAGGCAGAGCAAGTACTGTTCTTCCCCCCGCCCCTTTGTCATACAGAGAAGCATCTGGGAACCACAGACAGTTTTAAAGAAATATTAAAAAAAAAAAAAAAAAAAGGAGGGAGCAGAATAAAGGGATGGGAAGGTTTCCGGAGAAATAAGGTCAAGGAAGAAAGTTGGAAAGACATTAGATGGAGGTGGGGAGTGTTCAGAAGTTAAGAGTCAACATAGCAAACCAAACCTGCTGCCACGAGTGGATTCCAACTCACAGAGACCCTACAGGACAGAGTACAACTCCCCCATAGGGTTCCCAAGGAGCAGCTGCTAGATTCGAACTGCCAACCTTGTGGTTAGCAGCCAAGCTCTTAACCACCGGGCCACCAGGGCTCCAACAGTCAATGTAGCAGTCAACAAATATTTATTGAGTGTAGAACATCACTCTAAGTCATGTGTGAATCAGAATTATTGGTCATGGGGGCTCTGTTACACTTTATGATCCTGGGTTGTTTTGACCTCTCAGATTCATCTTGCTAACCCAAATGTTTTAGGTTTTACTCTCCGATCAAGATGCACAGGCAGTGAATGGTATCCTTCAAAATAAAAAATTATATAGTCTAACATCTTGAAATCAGGTCATCCCTCTCTTGGCTTGTCCCTAACCCAAAGAAACTTCACTGTCAGTTTACAAAACTAAACATTTTAATAAATATAACATCTGAAAAGATGACTCCTTTGGATTTCTGAAAGTTCTAAGAATCAATAAGCAAATATTAATTGCTAACTGGAAATGTTATATAATATCTGTGAATGATATTCAGAAGATAAATGCTGAAATATCACAACAGAGAAATACAAAATGGCAGATACATCAGAGAAAACTCACTTTTTAAAACATAATTTTTAAGTTTGAGTACGGGTAGGGAATTGTTTATAGACAGTAACCTTCGTCATCCAAGGACTTCTGATTTCTTTCATTCCCAGCATAATGTGGTAATGGTAGACCACACAAATTTTCCAGGATGGTGACTATTCTTCGTTTGCTTAAGACTAAAACAGGTCAAGAGAGTCTAACCTAGAAGTTTTCAAAGCAAAATAAAGAAACAAATGCATACCCTTTAGAAGGAATCATTTGATTCCTCCCACATGGGTAGACTAATACAGAATCGGGGAAACAGATTATTTTGATTTCTGTGTCCCAAGGTTGCAGGTCTAGATGGTTATCAGTACACACGTATTTCTTTGTGTCTGTTCTCCACTTAAACACTTTTCTAGACCAACTTCTTCTTAACCTCACCAACTGGCTGCAGTACTTTTTAGACAGTTCTTCATGACATTTTTACTATCATTTCCCAAGGCAGTAAAGGACAAAATAGTATAATAACATGGTCATCATTTCATTCCTCAAAACTTGCTCAGAATCAACATCTGCCTACCTAATGCAAGCATCCCATTGCAGATAGTTCCTTAGTTTCCCGAATTTCGATTTTACAGTGTGGCTTTCATCATCCATGACGTAGAATGCAGTTTAAGACCAGTTCTGTAACTAACCCAGTAGAGTAATTCTCAGAAGACTGACACATGTCACAGATAGTCAGATGGAGATTGAGAGGCTTTTTGAAACTTTACTAGTTCCTGAGATTACCCTAAAGTCAATGCATGATGGAGGTTTTAGAGAGTTCACCTGGGTTTATGGTACTCAACCCATGGAAGTTTATGTTTATGTGCACTCACATTTCAGGTAATTAAAAGAAAAACTCCACTTTTCCCCAAGATGGGCAATGGATAAGCCTGGATCTACCTACAGAGTAACTATAAAAGTAAAATCAAAGTGCTTGTGAGCTGACCTGGTATCATTTTTACAGGGTTCTAATTGCTCCGCCTCTATATCGTAAAAGACAGGCCAAACACAGTTCTGATTTCAATGGCACTTAAGGAATTAACAACCACAGATGTGATGACAGTGTTATAGAAAACAAATCTGCATTAGACAGAGCAGCGTCTACGGGGCTTGAAGGTAAGCGTTGGTGTAAAACTGAAAAAGTCGCTAACGTTTCAGGGAAAACGTGAAAGTGTTTTGGAGACCAGGGTTCTAGCTCTAGTTCCACCATTGACAGTTTGACCACTGTGCCTCAGTTTCACTGTCTGTAAGATGGAAGAGAAGAAAAGCTGCCTTGCTATTTTATATATCTATATATAAATACACCTGTATTTGTATATACAAATTTGGTAACAATATATGAAAAGCAGACTCAGTTATGGCAAGTTTAAACATTCAGCTTTAATTCAAACTATCTGAATCAATTAAAAAAATTAATCAATATTTAAAAGGCCTTAGGCAATATACTGTTAAAAGAATCTACTCAGTAAAAATTGACCAACATATGTCACGACAGCAAAATATCGTATGTCCATGGCTGCACTGGGAATGAGAGACAGAAACGCTAAGGAAAGCAACATATGGTCAAGGAAATCTACAGCCTTGTTCCCAGCGATCACTTATGTAACAAATTCCACAGTACTTTGTTTTGACTGAAGCTTTATGTTAGAGTTCAAAATAGATTTTATCAGTTCCTATCTCAGGAAATAAACCTAGAGTTAGATTATTAAAATATAAACCTGCGTTTTAAAAATTACTATCTTATCAAAGACAAAAATAAATGGCTCAAATAAGAAAATACTCAGTCTATCTTTCTTTTGCTTGAATGACACTCATGCGTGACTCTCCTCTTTCTCCTTCAGTGCAGACGCTTACTAGAAAGCAAGGAGCTGTACAGGTTGAGCCATAGGATATTGCCTACCGGCTATTTCACATGATTCAACTAATATAAAGATTGGGACAAACTGATGAGCAGACCTCCAGCCAGTGACATTAGATTGAAAGACGTCAGATAAAAAACAGCTTAGAACCCCAGAGTTCCTTAAAACTCTAGATTATCTCAAGGCTCAGCTATCAGACTATCTCAAAGATGTAATGGTTTGCCAAAACTGAGCTGAGAATTGGCAGAATGGACAACAGACCATTAGTTTCTCTCCTTCTTTAATATAGTCTGTTCTAGGTAAACACATGTGTCAATAAACAAGTAAACTGAATTAACCACTGGGATAGTCAAGAGCTGCAGGCCCACATGGACAAATTCTCATGACCCATGATGAGTCTGTGCTCTACTTTCTAAGACTGAAGTGTCAGCCTCACTGAGGTCATATAACCTTAGTAGCTAAGGGCATAACTAAGCACAATTATATTCCTTACTGGAGGTTTGAAGAATAAAAACATCAATTGTGATGGTTAATGTTACATGTCAACTAGGTAAGCCTATGAATCTCAGTGGTTTGGCAGATACTATGTAATCATCCCCCATTTTGTGATCTGATGTGAGCAGCCAATCAGTTGGAAGAGGAGTTTCTTTAGTGGTGTGGTCAGCATCCAGGATATAAATGCATGTCCTGGCAAAGCTCTCTCTCTCTCTCTCTCTCTCTCTCTCTCGACCTTGTGTCTGAACTCCAGTTCTTGGGAGGTGACCCAGCGCAGGCCTCCAGCCTATCACCTGACCTGCAGATTTTCGATTCACCAATCCTCACAACCTTATGAGCCAGGAGAGGCCTCCAGCCTGCCGCCTGACCTGCAGGCTTCGGGTTCGTCATCCCTTGCAGCCATGTGAGCCGGAAGAGGTCATCAGCCTGTCGTCTGACCCACAGATTTGGGACTTGCCAGCCCCCACCATTGTGTGAGCCATTTCCTCACAATTGCGGGAGCCATTTTCTTGAAGTAAATTTCTCTCTGTGTATCTATATACACTTTGCTGATTTTGCTGCTCTAACACACCAATAGACAGACTAAGACACCAATAAACTATCTGAATCCAATAATCTTACCTGCTGGTTTGATCTGGCATCACTGAAATTCTTTTTTTTCCCCAACTCTAGAATCACTGCATTCTTAGTTTCAAGAATGTAATCATTGTTAACTGGTTGAGGAAACTTTGTATTTTTCTTCATTAGTCCCTGCGATGGCCTGTAAAAGAAATTCACACCCATGAAAAGCACTGGTTGGCATACAAAGGCTTAGAAATCAGACTGGTTGAAATAACAATCAGACACCAGCATTCATTAGGCATTTATGGGGGCACCTTATGTGCAAAAGTTGAGCACTGGACAGGTAATCAGAGGGTCAGTGAAAATGAGACAAACCATCAATGGGATGGATTGACACAGTAGCCACAACAATGGACTCCAACTTATCAACGATCGTGAAGATGGTACAGGACCGGGCAATGTTTCATTCTGTTATACATAAGGTCACCATGAGTCTGAGCCCACTGGAGGGCACGTAACAACAATATTCATTCAATTATTTAAAGTAGTCATGCCCTTTGTCCTAAGGTGTTTAATACTCATTTTGTGTCTAAGAGATAGCATTATTTAGGAATCCACTAAATGAAAGTTCTGTCCCAGACCAAGCTATTCCATGCATATGTCCCCTCTCAACTGGCCTCTCTTACATCAAAAAGCCTCAATGACACTTACACGGAAGGTGCGCTTTTAGGCAGCCCCATAGCATTGGTGGGTGGGATGGTAGGAAGAGAAGGCAGAACAGAGCTGAGAAAAGCCGCTGGATTCTGGATCCGGCTAGTGGGAGAGACAGGGACTGGGGACACACAGCGGGGATGAAACTGGTTTCCGCTGGAGATGGAAAACGTGAGAGGTGGTTGTGCTGACTCTGTTGCACCTGGAGGTGGTGGTTCGCTTTGGGTGGAAATCCCTCCTGGAGATTTGGTTTGCATGGAGGGGTGAAAAACTAAGAGGCTTTCTTTGCTCACTGTCCTCTGAATGGTTTGAGGAGCACTGCTCAGCGTGAACACTGGAGAGCTGGAGGGGGACACGCTCACCACGGTGGTGTTTGTGGAGGGGAAGAAGTGCTTTGGCCGGGCCAGGCTGAATGTCTGTGATGACGGAGTCTTCACTGGCTTGCTGGACATTGTCACTGCTGGAGGAGCAGTCGAGTTCAAAACACTCATGTTGAAAGGAAACTCCTTAGGAGACGAAGCAGTTGGGCTTTGCAATTGTTGTTGTTCCAGTAAGACTTGGTTGTGAAGCTGTTGTAACTGACTGGAATCGCTGCACACAAACAAGAGTGGGGAGAGAAAAGAGAAATCTGTTACCATTGGCCTCATCCTTCCAAAATGTACAGATAGGCTGTTTATGACTTTTATGTTGATTAAAACCCATAATCAGAGTGGCAAGAATCAACTAGTCACTAGTGAGTCGTTTGGGTCTCTCCATCTTTCCAAGTCTGTTTTATTGCTAGTAAGATGGAAAAAAGGGATAATAGATTTTCTATGGTAGCTGAATTAGAAATAGCAAGTAACTCCATAGCTGTTTTGGAGCCCTGGTGGCGCAGTGGTTAAGAGCTCGTCTGCTAACCAAAAGGTCAGCAGTTTGAATCCACCAGCCACTCCTTGGAAACCTTATGGGGGCAGTTTTACTCTGTCCTATAGGGTCTCTATGAGTCAGAATCTACACAATGGCAACGGGGCTGTAGCTGTTAACTATGATTGTAAATGATTGTAAAAACCAACCTAATACAGCCTCTTCTTGGAACCTCTTTTTAAGAGTAAGTATTTTTGAAAATAGAGTTGGTGGCTTAGTGGTTAAGAATCCGGCTACTAACCAAAAGGTTGGCAGTTCGAATCCACCAGGTGCTCCTTGGAAACCCTATGGGGCCGTTCTACTCTGTCCTATAGGGTTGCTATGAGTCGGAACCGACTTGAAGGCAATGGATTTTTGGTATCAGGTTTGGTTATAAAAGTAATGCTTTTTCTAGAAATTTTAAAACTATAGAAAGGTATGAAGAGAAGAATAAAGATTACTTTTACTGTCATCTCCCTAAAATAACCTGCTGTTAATATTTGTATGCAAATCCTTCCAGAGCTTTTTCATATGTATATACATATACACATACATATGCACCTATACTTAGATAAATTGTTTCTTTAAAAAATGGAATGCTTTTCTACGTACGGCTTTAAAACCAGACTTTTTCACTTAACAATCTAATATGAACATTCTTCTAAGTTAATAAGTCTGCATCATCATTTTTCATGGCCATTTAATAATCATTTTTATGGCTGTACTGTATTAATCCCTTATTGTAGAACATTTAGCTTAGTTTTAAATTTTCCTAAACAATGCTGCAGTGAATAGCCTTGTTGTAAACACCTATTTGTGTTCTTGTCTGATTATTTCTCTAATGTAAATGTATATAAATGAAATTATTGGATTAAAGGTATATCTTAACATTTTTATATATTTAGCCAAAGTGTTCTTCAGAATGGTTGTACCAGTTTATACTACCACAAGCAATATATGAGAGTTCCTGTTTCTCCATACCATAGTCTTATCAATTATCTCTTTAATATTTTGCTATTAATCTAGTGGCAAAAATATCCATTATTTTATATCTGATTATTGCTAGTGATATTGAATATATTTTATTATGCATATTACCAGTTATATATTATTATTTTGTGCATTATTTATACATATCATTTGTCCATTTTTCCTCTCAGAATCTTTATCTTTTTCTTATTAATTTATGAATTTTTTTTAATCTACTAAGGATACCAACTCTTGGCAGTACCTGTTGCAAGTATTTTTCCTGGTAGTTTATTGGGTAGGGGCAGGTCCTGAAGGCCGTGATAAAGAGTTTGAGTTTATTCTAAGTGGCTAGAAAGCAGTTTGAGGATTTTAAGGATAGTGAAATAATCTAATTTGTATTTTAAATATATTACTCTGGCAGCTATTGGAGAACGGACTATATAGTATGGCAAAAGTGAAAATGGAGAGGCCAGTCAGAATGCAAGTGCATTTAACCAGGGAAGAAATGGTGGCGGACTGGACCAGGATGGTGGAAACAGAGATAGAGAGAAGTAGGCAGATTCAAGATATTTTTAGAAGAAAAGCAAGAGAATTGGTGATGGATTGGATACGGGGGATAATGAAAAGGAGGAATCAAGAACAAGTCCTAGGGACTTGACTTGAGCATCTAGGTTTATGAGGGCACCACTTACAAGATGGAGAAAAGTGGGAGAAAAACAGTTTTGGGGAGGATTACCATGAGTTCTTTTGGGACACGCTAAGTTGAAATGTGTGTGGGACATCCAAGTGAAAATGTCAAGTAAGACCACTGAGTATACTAATAGGGAACTCAGAAGATAGGAATGGGACAATCATCAGTTGGTAGACAGCACGTGAAGCCAGAGGACTGAATGTGATCACCTAGGGGGAGAAGGTGGATAGAGAAGAGCCCAGGGCTGTGCCCTGGGGTTGAGTAAAGCAGCTGAAACCAGCAAAGGAGAATCAAAGCAATAGCCAGAGAAGTGAAGTGTTATGGAAATCAAGCGAAGAAAGTGTTTCAAGAGGAGAGAATAATCAACTATGTGAAATGATGCTGAAAGAGAGAAGACAGAAAAGAGGTAAGGAGAGAAGAGAGGAGAAGGATCAGCTGAATTTGGCAGCTTGGAGAATCTGATCATACTTCCTGAAGCCCACTTTAAGGATATTATGAAGATATAATCCAATTTGTGGTCTACTATTAATAGAAACCCTAATGCATTAATGAAATCGCTTTTGGATATGTGATGTATAGAATCTATGAGCTTTACCTCAGTCCTCCATCATGAAATATGCTGCTTGTAATCGTAAGACCAGGCCTGAAAACATGAGGTTCAGGTCTAAAAGAGATGTGGGCAAGACTCTGAAGGGAAATGGGAAACCCAATCCTTAATGCATCACTATGATATTTCTTCAGTTTTCTTTTTGTTACTAGAACGCCATTGTCCTGAAGATATGAAGGATCAGAGAAATGTCCATAATTACTTGCAAAGCTATTAAAATATAATTAAATCCTGCAGCTTAGAAATGAACTAAAATGACTGGAAAAATATTAACATATCCTTCCTACCACAGTCCTTAATTATTATTATTGAAAGAAAAATATTAAATATATAGTTAAAAAATACTGGAATGAAAGTCACTAGTGTGATAACACTATGTGGTTACAGTGAAGGAATTATGGTTGATTTTTCTTTTCTATTTTCCAAATTTTCTGAAATGGATGGTTTGCTCTCAGCTACTAACCAAAAGGTTGGCAGTTCAAATCCACCTAGTGGCACTGCAGAAGAAAGGCCTGGTGATCTACTTCCATAAGATCATAGCCATTGAAAACTCAATGGAGTAGTTCTACTCTGTAACACATGGGGTTGTCAGGAGTTCGAACTGACTGAATGGTAACCGGGGAGGAGGGTTTGAGTTTTTTGGTTGTTGTTGTATTTCTTTTATGGACTACCATCACCTACAGCTTCAGGAAGCATCATTCACACTGTATTCTTTGTGCTGTGCCCCCTGAAGTTGTGCAACATGGTAGCCCCATTTAGGATGTTTATAAATTAGAAAAGTGAAAAAGAAATAGAAACAATGTTCCTCTTGTTGGCAGTGCTCACAGTTTTGATGACCAGCAGACAGTATTCCGACCTTGGAAGAGAAGACACTGAGCTACACACTGATGAGAGTTACTGAAGGGAACTGAATTTCTTCAAGAAATCGTGCTGTATTCCTCACCCTGACTGGTTTGAAAGCAAACCTTAACAAAGAACTGGAAGGGTCTTAGTACTCCTCATCATCTCTTGGCACCAAAGCTTTATTCATAAGATGACCATATGTCCTGATTCATCCAAGACAGTTGCAGTTTATGCTTGCTTTCCTGGTGCAATTATTAATAGTGCTCGCTTTCACTCTCAGAAATGTCCTTGTTTGAATGATAAATTACCTGGTCATTCTAATTATGAACATTGCCTTAGACTTTTCTTGTTCGTAAAAGGAGAAAGAAGATCAAGCTGAGAGCACTCTCTGAGTCACAGAGCTATTACACGATTTGCCTTAAGTCCCACAGACATTTCTGCCCTAGAAAAAGGAGATTAGTTTTTCCACAGATGCTATTTAATTCCTCTTCACAGACATAGTTAATTGCTTTTTTAAGACTGAAAATGTTTTAAAACCACATAGGCATAAAGCTGTCAGGGCTGCCAAACTTTGGTGTTTAGGAGAATCTACTCTTGAATGGGTGACCCTGGGAAGACCTTACATGGGACCACAGTGCTTTTATGGTCTTTGAAATACAGGTAGTTCCCAATTTACGAAGTACTCAAGTTATGGCAAACCACACTTACGACTGTCCTTTTTTTGTTGTTCATCTTGTCATTAGTAGGGAGCCTCGGTGGCAAATGGTTAAAACACTTGGCTGCCAACTGGAAGACTAGTGTTGGAACCTACCAGTCGCTCTATGGGAGAAAGATGTGGTAGTCGGCTTCCCTAAAGATTTACTAGCTTTGCAAACCCTATGGGGCAGTTCTGCTTTGTCCTATAGGGTTGCTGTGAGTAGGAAGCAACTCCACGCAGTGGGTTTGGTTTTTGGTTATTGTTAGTAATATGCACTATATACAGTGCTGCAACGTGTAATTTGCTGATGCCAACTGCCGAAGACAAAGATGGAATTTATAAAGATACTGATAATAAAAGGTAATAATAACGAAAACTGAAAGAAAGTATTTGACTTATGTCTGAACCAACTTACAACGGAGTCGTGGGAACAGAACCTCGTAGAAAGTCAGGGGCTACCTGTACAGTGAAACCTGTGAGAGCCGGAACTCTCTTGTTCCTAAACAAGAGTTCCTAAACCTGTGTCAGCTGGCACTGCCTTGTTTTCCCGGATCTTGGAAATTTTCCACCTTTGATAGGGTGCCGTCTACCCCTTTTCTATCACTTGTTTTAGTGGAACATATTTGAGTTTTCTTTCTCTAGCAGGTTTCCACCTTACACAGGTTCCGGCTCTCGCAGGTTTTACTGTATCTGTTGCTTCTGGAACATAGAAGGTGATCTGATGAATATGAGGTCTATTAAAATTTAAATGTGTTTTATATTTTCATATCATCAGGAAAGTCAATATCAACAGCAACAAAGTTGAACAGAAGGCTCTTCAAATCTTGATCTTTCTTAATTCTTAGAGTTTAAGACCTTTTTTCTTCTCTTCATTAATATCTATTAATGGATATCTATTACTG